TGAATAAAGGCAGTTCTTAGCCAGTACAGGCAGGCTGATGTGTGTACCCTGTCATGTTTCGTATGATATGACCCTGTTTTTAGAGTAATATTGCAGCTGGTTCTTCATTAGGTTCTCCTCTGCCTTCCCACGTGCTGCTTCCCTGCGTGCTGAAGGCTGTGTTCCCCCATCGCGAGTGCGACTTCGAGCCCACTGAGTATGGGCTTTGAGGCTGCGGGATGGAGGTGCCGGTGCCAGTCTGCACCCTGCAAAGCTGTGACATCTCCCCCGTCAGAGATCCTGGCATAAGGTGCTGGCCCTGGTAAACCTGGGGAGGGTTCCAACACAGTGCAGCACTCAGCACTGTGATGCAGAGCTGCACTGGCTAAATCAGCAGTGGTTGTTAGTTTTACCTTGTGAATTTTGGCGTTTTTTTTGGTAAGTAAAGTTTTGCCCCTCTGGGCAGGATCTCTTGCAGGGATATCTGTGTGCCTGTATTAAAATTGCAATTACACACCTGAAAGTTGAGCCGCAGCACCGCCACAGCCTCCCAGTCCTGGCTGGATGAGACCGTGGTGGGGACGGGGACAGAGGCAGGAGTGGACCTTTCCTTTCTCTTGGGTGATCACCTCATCCTCCAAATGCAGCGGTTATGGCCCCCCCCACCTGGGGAGTGATTCCTGGTGATTTGGGGCAGTTGCAGGGATCGTGGTGCTCCCCGGCACCGTTCGGGTCCTCCCAGCTGCAGGAGCAGGGCAGGAGAGCCTGGCTTGTCGCTTTTTTTAGGCATTAACATCTATGATTGCAGAGCCCTCGGGGAGCTCGGAGTGGAAAATACTGTGTTCCTCATCCCAACCCACCCCTTGCTTAATGAGCGCATTAACAACAAGCCCCGTTTAATTTATATCAATTTCAAAATCTCCAAAGACGCTCCTATATATAAGCAGAGCATCAGATCCCATCCCTGTAATGGGTCATTAATGTATTTTAAGCGAGAGAGACAAGTTTGCGTTGGCAAAGAGGAGGATCAAAAATGCTTTTATAGCAAAATGACGAAGAGTGCCTTTTTGATTGCCTCTAAATTCCCAGTGAATAAATGAATAATAGAAAAATAAATGAATAATAGATATATCAGTGGATTAGATATTGCAATGCAAGGATAATAAGTCACCCTGTACCCCTGCCAGACTATTTGTTTAACAGGACAAACTGGGAAAGTCAATACAGAAGGTGTGTGGGGACATGAGAAAACTCTCCCGGTCACGTCACTGTAGGAGACAAACTCCAGATGCTGCTTCAGCCGGGCGGTTTCTTGGGGTCCCATGTTCAAACTGCGCCCTAAGAGGACGGCAGCCTCTGCTAGGACGTGTTCCCCTGCACCAGGACCCGCAGGACACACCGTGAGTGCTGCCGTTACGCTGCTGCGAGCTTTCCTCTGGGGAGGCGGTGTTGGTGGCCGATGCTGTGGCCAGACGGCGGGCAAGTCCCTGGTGTTGGGGCTCCGGCTGCGTCCAGGGGTGCCTTGGCCAGCGTGTCCCATCACCGGGCTGCTCTGGAGCGATGTGCACTAGAGGGAGACAAAGCCCCACGCTCCGCTGGTGGGACCTGGGTGCGTGGTGGGACTGGGTGCCCCATGGGATGAGGAGCCCAGTCCCGCCACTGTGGACACATGGTGGGCGCTGCTGGGGCTTTTCGCAGCACAGGGTCCAGCTGGGTGCGCTGAGGATGCTCCCACACGGGGCTGGGAGCTCCTTGAGGGCTCAGGTTTGGAGTAGTGGGTGAGCCAAGCCCGGCCCCTTCACACCTTGGGGACGGCGGATGGTGTGGCACCCGCTGCCATGGTCCCTGGGCAGGAGGCGTGATGGAACGCTGCGTTCCCACGTGGTGCTGGTGCCCGGGCTGTGCTCTCCATGCTGCCCCACGCAGCCTTGGCTGCTGCTCGGCTGTGACGGCGATCGATGTCCCCAACCGCGGCAGCACCCCGCGGGGCCCACTGCCCGCTTGCCCTGCCCGCACGCCAGTGAGGTTTTCCTGGGGTCTAAAGGGCTGAAAACCAGCAGGATTTGGTTTCTGCTTGGCCCACGGGAGAGGCAGTCCCTTGGCAGCAGCTCTTCCCCAAGTGACAGTTGATGACTGCTGCGCCAAGGGGATGCTCTTTTTCCGGAGTATGTTTTATCCCAGATAAATACAACAGATATGGGTGAGAATAAATATATCTGATTTTTCACTGTAATCCGTCTCCACCCATCACCTCCCTCTGGCACAGTGAGGCTGCCCACCTACCCCGTGCTTGGTTTGCTTGCCTGTAGATTGCGTGTTTAAATGCAAGTTTATTTATTTATGTATTCTTTATGCGCCCCAACCCCTAATCTAGAAGTTACTCAAGCAGGTGGTGTTTCCCACCGCAGTGCTCCTGGCCCCCCACAAACACAGGGGTAAATTCAGAGCTTCAGCGAGTAACGTTGGAGGTCGCTTGCTTAGACTTCAGGAGAGGCGAAGCTGAGACAGATGGCCTGGGTTGATGGCTGGATCCTTTAACGAGATCCTTGACATCTTCCCGCT